TTGCTCCGGGGATTTTATTTTGAACTCATGTTCATAAATTAAGGATAATGCAAAATCAGGCAAAGGAAGAGTTTGAAGCAAAACAAATTTGACTTGTTTGTAAAGCTTATTTATTAAACAAAAGGTAAAGAGCAAAAACCGATGCTATATGTTTGATATTATTAAAAAAATTAGCGATTTTTTCTCCCTGGAGCAAATGACAGAAAAAAACCCATTTGCAAAAAAAAAAAAAAAAAAAAAAAAAAAAAAAAAACAGTATTACATGGTTGGTATGATTGTTAATACAGTGCATGTCTCCCAGACGATGCAATACAGTCCGTACTGTATATTATGCAATACAGTCCAATATTAAATTAGAAATTTAATCTTTTGTTTTTCGATTATAAGATAAAAATGACTTTTTACACGTAATTTAGTTGTGGTTACAATTTTGTTTAATGAAATAAATGAAAACTAACGGCTCTTGCATCAAAGAGAATGCTGACCAATAATTATACCCAGAGTGACCAACAATTAGCTGATCCAGGGGTACTTCTCGGCTACTGAAAAGTTATGCTTAAATTACGTGTATAACCACACATTTTCATTTTTAAAAAATCTCGGGATTAAAAATTAAGACAAGTATGACGAACACCAATTTATTTATGAATTAACACACAAAAGAAATAAAAGAGTAACAGAGTTTGTTTAGCTACATAACTCGCGCGAAGCTTTCCAAGTCCTCACTCTAAAGTTGTGTGTCAAAAAAAGAATGTTTATATTTTAGCGAATCTCGCATCACATGACCTACAGCAGATGCTCAGTTTTAAGAATGACTCATGCCGTCTGTTACACGTGTAGATATTAAATTAGAAATTATGTGTATGGCTAAAAATCTTTACTGTATGCCGAAACTGGAAGTGCTTATTTTGATGGGTTTTTCTTAGAAAGTTCTCCACAAAGGCATCCCTTCCCTTAGCTTTTGCCATAAGCAAATAAACTAAACCAAAAGTGATGACTTTTATAATTGGATATTATTGTTTTTCGACCACCCCGAAAGATCTTGTATATATAAATCAAGTGTATCAAACATTATTCGACATTTATTTTAATATCCTAGAAAATTTATAATGATGGGTATTAATTAAAAATCATCGTTAATTTATAGCCGACGTGTTTTACACATAAGGGAAACTACCAGACACAGAAGAAATAAAATTCCCATATCGCATTACTAGAAAGGTTTGTGCATGAATACATTGCTCCAACGGTTTTTCCGACAGTAGGGAATTTGCTGACACAGTTTTGTTGCAGTATACGAACAGAGGAATAATGAATTTCCTGTTGCATATTACAGTGTTTATTCGAAAGGATTCGGTACCTTACAGCATCGCTGGTTGCATCCTGGATAAAGAATAACTATATGCGATTGATTGGAGTAGCTATACAGTAAGTGCTGCATTCATATCTACTTATTATGTAAATTCAGATACGTCGTGTGCAGAGTCATCGCTGCTAATACTTTCATATAGGATTTTGTATTTTATAAAATTTTAATGTTCTGATATATTTATTTGACGTTTTGTTCCTTTCGATTAATAACAATACAAATAGCGTGAGATGTTAAGACTTAACGACTTTATAGCTTGTTTGAATGCAACATAAGATGTTTAAAAAGCGAAATTAGTTTTACCTGCAGTATAGTCTCTTAATGCGAGTCACCCATTGAAAAGCACTAATCAAAATTTAGATTAATTTTGATCAAATATAGCAGTTTAATTTCGTCAGTAGGAAATAAGCGGAAATCTTAAATTGTCTCTAAATATATCAGTTAAAAGGTTAAATCTACCCGACTATATTCAGTATTTATAACTGGAGAGTACGTGCTTAGGGTTAAGAGTGACAAATGTTAGAGATGTACATAAGATGAGTATGGTATCCTAAAAAGCTACTAGTAAAATCCTTGTACAACTGTGTTGAATTTTTAAACAAGTTTTCCAGCTCTTAAATATTGGAGAACGCGCACTAAAATGTTTAGGAATGTTAAGTTCAAAAACGTGTAAATTTTAATGCCATTAGCATCGAATTTTCAAACTTTTATTTAAGAAACTAGTTTATGAAAAAGATCTTGATAGAGAATTGCATATATTGAGTATTGTAGAAGCACTAATTAAATATTAAGAATTCATGGTTTCATGTAAGAAATATGAGAGTGACAAATGTTTCATAATTTAACAGCAAAGCTATATTAAGTCTCTCTCATACGCCGATAGTATAGAAATTCGGATCATGCGGTATAATGACATGTAACATTGCGTGCATAAAATATCCATACCTCTGGGATGACATGCAAATAAAACAAATTATATAATAATGAATCCATTTATTAAGAAATGTGGTAGCCAGTATAGATTACGATTTTATGAGTCTTTGGAACATTGTTTTAAAGTTAGATTTCCTGCTAGCTCAGTACTAAAAAAATTCACTTTTGCTCCATTAAATGTATAGAATTTTCAAATTTAATCACTATTATTCTTTAGAAATCGATGCGGCCGTATTTGAAAGCAACAAACACTGAACTATAGTCAAATACAAACTATTTTCACGTGTATTATAATTGGTATCACTGCTGTGTAACACTAATAATATATTTAAATACTGTCGGAATATGAAGTTTGAGGGGTGGAACTTCATTCTGACGTCATTTCACAAGCATATCGGGCGTTGATCATGAATGAAAAACCCAGAATGAGAATATGTACAATAAAGGCTGTAATGAGCCGATTTTTTATAAAAGCTATATCTGGAAAATCCTGAAATGGGACATAACAGTGGTCTCTAACGCAGTCTACTCCTTGTCTGGCAATTTCATGTCACAAAATAAAACCTCACCAGAAAGATGGCATCCATTTAGTCATATTGCATGCAGGCTTTCTTTTTCATGAGCCACCGTGTATAAGGCTATTAATGTCTTTTTTAAGGGGGCAATGTAGTTTAATAAAGAAACAGTTGGTTGGTTAACAGTTGATGAGTAAGATGCGCTGTAATAATTTGGATATTATGTGTAAGGAAATCTGCACAGAATATACATTGCTCGAGGGTTTGGACACAAAATGTAATGAAACTGAAATTCTGAAATACCTCAAACTTTATATTATGTAATTTGAAGATATAGAATTGATTGTAAGCTTCTAGATAATAAGATTTAAAACAAATCATTTATATTCAGCGACGGTACTTAACTTACAGAATGAAGAGATTACAACATATAACTTTAAGCTTCACTGCTATAAGATTAAAAAAAATTTACAACTTTCTTGGTTTCAAGTAGAAATGGGTTAAGTTTTATTGATATTCCAACTTATATCACCAAATTGAAAGAATAAAACTGGATATGCAGTTTCGAATGGTTTGCGATTGCAGTGTATTAGAAAATGGATTTTGATACATGTATGTGCTTTGCTTGGTAACATCTTGACATGAAGCAAATTTGACAGAATAGATTGCTAAATATCTTACATTAAAAACTTCGATGTTGAAAAATACCGTTTATCTTTGCTAAAGAAGCCTTCTGAATATTTGTAACATACTTTGTTTTAAGTAGTAGATGAGGAAAATGTCGCTAAATTTCATACCAGTTTTCCGAAACTTTCAACTCCGGCATCGTGTGATGATAATCTTCATCTTTACATGGAAATTTCGTTTTCTGGATTCAGTTCTAATCATTTAACAAATTTCTAAAAAGAATTTTTCTTACCTAGAATTTTAAGACGACGTACTTTTCGACGAAATATCACATCTGACATACGAGTTTAAAAATGGACAGAATCCACGGCCAGAGTATTTATTTCCTTATGAATTTGATTTTAAAGGAAAATTTTGGGTAGCAAATGAATTTAAGCTTAATATTCAAAAGTCTAAGGTTTTATTATATTTAATAATTAATCTAAACGAAACCGGACAAAATCAACCAATTAAAGATGGCTTCTTTCTTCGAAGTAAAATCCTACTTCATATACCAGCACTTAAGCACTGGAATATTCGCTAGAACATTAATTAAAGTTAGTATTGTTATGTCTGGGATTTGGCTTAAATACACCTAAATCAAAATGGCGATCAGCTTTGAGCTTCCGTAAGAAAAAAATTCTCAGGATATCAAATCTGACAGAAAAGTTATAAGAAATAATTATTGGTTTCGTTTGCGCCCCAAACATTGTTTTAAGAACACTATTAAGATTTTTCGTATAATTTCGTCTTCCATAAAAATAGATCATTTAGAAGATTTCAAATAAAACGCCTCATTGAGAAAATAATTCTTTGTGCACTTATTTTCATGAACGTGCGGACTTTAGGTCCGTTTCCTTCCAGCTTTTTAAAAAATTTTTAATTTTAAGAAAGTTGGGATTATCTATTTTCAGGTGTTGTGTCTCAAAATCATATGCATTGTACTCAATACTGCGACTCCATATAATCTATAGAGACCATTGAACTCTTAATTTCAGAGGATGATAGAAAAATTTCAATAAAAAGAAGAATTCTAGGAACATACATTCATAACACAAGCGTGGAATAGATGCAGAAAACAAATGTTCCAATAATGAACACTTCATTTGGAGAATATTTATAATATGATTCGCATTACCCGGGTTTTTTCACCTCGTAGTAACGCTTCTTATAAAACAGAACCGGGAAATATTAATTTAAAGTTAATTGTGAAGAATATGAAAATCTCACAAATATCAATTTGTTGGAATTCTTATCTCATTCAATTAGGAAACTATCTTGAGTTTAAAATTTTAGAGATTCGAAATACTTTTGGAAGTACGCACAAAGCATTTTCTATTTAACAAAGCATTTTTGCATATATTTGATGAGTGTATAAGGTTATTTTAAATTATCATGAAACAAAATATCAGTAAACTTTGTCTCAGCATCACAGACCCAGTTCCTTTAGATTTGTTTACCTATTTTGACGTGCTTTCATGTGTGGGAACACACATAAACATATAAAAAATAAAAAATGTTGAAAAAACATTTTATGTTTATAATTCTAAATATAAACTAGTATTAATAATTAATGAATCCAATTATCTCTGAAATGAGTAAAATGCTTAACAAAAATTTCAATTTATTACTGAAGCTTTTCCCTAAATTAAAATCATTTTTACAAAAACAGGGAATCCTTAATGCTAAAAAATGTAACTGGATAATCTGAAGATATATACAAGGAAAAGTTGTTCCATAAGTATTTCATTTAAAATATATCAGTAGCACAAGTTCAACTTGACTAAAATAGCTCCAACGTGTATTTAGAAATGGACATTGGCACATAGTTTGATAGCAGCATTAAAAACACTTGGAAGTTTCGAAAAGGAGAGAGTGCGTTACATTTTAACCTTTATATGCACCCTAACCTCTCACGCACCTTCCATTTACCATGGAGTACCCTGGCAAAGCACATACAAGCGGCCGGCACTTCTTGAAAAATGGATCATATTTCTGTCCAGACGAGCAAGAAGGTACTGGCTGTCTGGATACCCCCACCTGGTCTCCATCGCTTTGGTTAATGTCCAGTAAAAGGGCGAAAGATAGTGGCCTCCTCCCCTTGCCTGAAATTCCTTTATCACAAAATAGAGCGTCCACACTTATACCGTTGCAGAGCGCGCAATGTGGATTCCTGAAAGCTTCATCATCATCTCCAGTCTTGTAGACCATCGCCAAATACGACTCGCAAGCTCTTTTCACTGGAAGTCGCCTCCAGCTGGGGGGGCAGGTGGACACTATATTTGCTCGGCATAATCTGACGTCATTCCTGACGTAGGAAGGCATATCAAAAATCAGTTTACATGAATGAAATTGCTCAGTGTCATTGTTGAGTTCCACCCCCCATTCATTTAAGTCGGACCTGTACTTGAGGTTGCTCCATATGTAATTGTCGGTGGCTTCTGAGATATATTCGAGACTTTCACAGTTAAGCAAAATCAACCACGATGTGAGGCTAGATGAGGAAACAAGGTTGCATTCCGCGCAATATCTGTTCTTGTAAGTTACGTGTAGAGATGCGTCTGTCACAGGGACGGACAACAGAGGGTCACTGATGTCATCGTCACTCTGACATTTGCGCTGTACTTCCTGGCTTCCAGAATAATCGCGAGAACACTTGTTCACGACGTAAACTCCCGTATTGGGCTCATTTCCAAAAGGCATGCAAGTCCATCGACTCCACTGAGAGCTGGAGCCTCTGGTTGATGACCGGTAAGTAGAGTCAATGCAACAGTCATTAAATATCGAACATGAGCGATCACATTCGCAATTTGTTTCGTTAAATGATGTGTGTCTAGTCGGCGAAGTGCAACTGTCATGGTTCCTGCAGGCTACGCCGATGGCTTCTAAATCACTGTAGTCGAGGGAATGTACATTCAATATAGACGCAAATGTGAAAGTTAAAAATTTAAGAAAGGATTTTCCTCTTTTCATTTTGATTTGCAGTATTACGTTATTTTCAAATTTCCAGTTCAAAAATTAAAGATTCCAGAATAGGATGACGAAGTGGCCAATCTGAAAAACAAATAAGAATCATTAAAATTTTTATCATTGCATATTGTTAAAATATAGACGCTGACATACCATTTTAGATTAAATTTTGGGCCAAAAAGCTTGTAATACTTGGTAACAGAATTTAAAACGATTGGTATAATTTTAATTCAGTTCTTTGAACGGCGCTAGGTTGAATTAAAACAACCATTTCCCAAAATTCAGTTCAGAGGTTTGGAAATTTATTGAAACCATCTAAATAAGGTAAAATTTTTAAAAACATACATCTCTAAATACGTAAAATACGGGTTCTAGATTTTAGTAGCGTACTCAAAATATAGATGCATTAATTCTACTAGCGTCTCAAGTTTGATGTCCCTAGTTATTTTTTGATATTTGTAATATCTTTCACTAAGTGTTTGTATATTTTATAACTGAAATATTTTCTTTGTATTTAAATGCTTCATTTTATTTATTAAATTAGGTTTTAATTATTATCTCTAGAATAAATTCCATCTTTTAAATGTTCCATAAATGCGCTACATGCTTTTGAGAATTTTCTAACTGCTGGCTCCTATTTACACATGAGGAATTCGCAAAACTCTTATCCATGCAGTCTGTTAAATTGCCAGGAATTCAAGTTTGAAAGGACCAATTTTCAGCTTTAATAATTCGGTCATTATTTTGTTACCTGGGAAATAGATTCATGCGAAACTGATCTGCAAGGTGATTTTTGTAAAAGTAAATATATTTGGATATTAAAATGAATTTTCACAGTTTATACAATTAAGTTATTTTACAGAAAACTTTGAAGAACAGAGCATGGTTTTATTTAATGTTTAATACTAATATTCGTCGTGTATAAGCATAGTTTAAAAAATTCATGCTTTCATTGTCAAAGAAAGTTAGTCACAATAAACTGCCCTTCAAAAGTTAAGGAATAGCATGTTTTTCAAAGATTACTATTACAAAAATGTCAGTAATGCTTAAATTCATAGTTCTTTTTTACGAGTTACACGCACATTCATAAAACCTGCAGACCATTTTTTCTACAGTCTGCTCTTTCATTGAATGAAACATCTGCTTGTCGGTCATATTTGGAATGGCGAGTTATCGTCTTGTAGGCGTGGTAATTAACGCCAAACAAACCTTGTAGGCTTTCAGTACAGCGAAGAGAAACTTTTATTTCATTCGATAATTTATTTTATGAATGAAAGCTACGGGGAATTGTGTGAAATATATTTTAAATAACCTACTGATCTTATTAATAGTTTATTTGTATTTGAATTTAAACTGTTAAAAGTACGATAATTGTTTGCAAGAAAATGTGTTTACAATCAATCAATTCAATAAAACATTTAAGGGCGTCGGATACCTATTCTTTAAGCCTAAATTATGAGTAAGTATAACTAAAATTATATTTTATTCCATTATGCTCTGTTTCTATTGAAACGCTTTTCGGGATCGTGGATCATAATCTTGCTACTAGTACCTACTACAAAAAGTACAAACCAGTAGATAAAAAAAATAAGGTGTTGTGTGTGGTGTATTTAATTATGGCAAAGCACACTAGGGCTATCTGCCTAAGAGGAGGAATGCCTTCGTGGAGGACTTTCTAAGGGAAACTGGCTCGTATACACGTTACACATGGGGAAAACCACGAAAACGCCCATGCAGCCAGCCCGTTCGCGGGATTCGAACCTTGGACCGAACTACCAGTGATAAAAAAATAAGAAAAATTAGAATTAACAAAAATAGAGAAAATGAAGGTGTTAAATTTTTAACACCGTACCCGAAGGTAAAAAGACCAATAATGACAAAGTCATTCAATAAAGTGAGGATAAAAACAAATCCGTCCAGGGAAGAATTCGTAAAAGCTCACGAGCGGGGATATAAACGGCGATCTAGAAATCCGAGAAATTTTTTCTACCTCGTTACCGTTGAACTGCAGTTTCGCCACTGGCTTTCGCACACTTTTCGGTACAGAAGGCTGATATACAAATAGTATAGGCGATGAATCATAGTCGCGAAGTACAAGATTCTGTAACCCTACGTTACCTGTTTTAACCAATCGGACCAAACAGTAGAAGAAACGGTCTGTAAGCTTTGTGAATATGCGAGTTACACGAATATGCTCTTGTGGAATTTCTCTCCAACAGAAGAAACTGCAGTTACATTTCTGCTGAAATAGAGTATTTTGCCACAAAATAGATAAGTTGTTTTGGAACAAGTAAAAGCCTGAATCTTTTCTAAAAGTGGTCACCACAACAAATGAAACAAAAAACCTGGTCATAAGTAGGTTTATTGATTTATTTTTAGGATAAATATTCAGTTTTAAGATGTAAAATATGTATCCAATTGTTTTTTGGAAATTATAAGTCGTCATTCGTATTCTTTTGCAGAAAATCGCTAAATTGCGCCAAGTTGTTTGCGTTAATATTATAAGTACGAAAATTAACATTGGCCATGTGGATAAGAGTGCTGAAATCTTCATTGAAGTAGCTTGATACGATAATGAGCTTCAATGAATAAGCTAGTTGCAAGAGCGTTTTCGAGGTAACATGAATGCAAACGAATTTACCTCATTCAGAAATTTTCAGAGAGATCCTTCACATTAGGCAGAAATTCTATTGTTCTACTGAAACTGATCAACAAACCAAAAGGTTTCCTAAAGTTTAAATATAATTCTCTCTCACGTAAGTTATTAAATTATCTGGTGAATCAGGCGATATTAAAACAAATGCGATACTGCTACAACAAAGCTGAAAACCACGTTCGTTATTTATTTATTGAAATATATGGTTCTTAATCCATCCCATTCACAAGAATTAACATCTAATTCACAAAATTAAAATCAAATATCTCTTCAACTTTTGAATTCTTTGCAGTTATTGTGTACAAGCGCAGAAGGTAATTTCGAAGTTGTCCAAATACCGAGTACATAAGCCGAAAAGATTTGATACCAAATGTTCTTGTGTGAATATATTACACCTTTAGGTATAGAATAAGGAATAGTTTGCTAAGAGAAATCACAGGAGGGTAATCTGCTTGCGGAGAGGATGCCTTCGTGGAGAACTTCCTACGAGAAAATATCTGGCATTACACATAAGGAAAACTATAAAAACGAGCATAGTAGTACAACCAACCCGTTTGTCGGGTCCAGAACCTGGTTGAACCCGGCTTAGAGCAGAGAAACGTCGAATAACTGCGAAATCTTAATAACAATCATATGATCATACTTTTTTCAAAGGCAGTGCCTGTACGGTATATTATAGTAAATGAATGCCTGCTTTTAAATATGTAAAATACTCTTTATTATGTTAAAGATTGATATTTTTAAACTTATGTATTCTTTGATACGGTTTTCGAAAAGTAATTGTTGGTCTTTATTTCTTCACCGATCAAGAGTTGATACAATATTCTTATGAGATCTTCGTCTTGGTTTTATGCAACTCCGATTAATCTAGGTCAGTTTAGATTTTGTAAGAATGCTATGAGTTGACTGGCGCAAGCTTTAGTTAATTTTGTAAGATAAATACGAATTCAAACTTTGAGATAAAGTTTGTTCCTAAATTTATAATTTTTTTAAAAAAATTTACTTATTCGGTTTCTATTTTCATTTCCAATTCACATACTACCGTTTTCCTGCCCTACACAATCTTCCTCAGATAGGAGAATAAATGATTTTCGAATTAAAAGACGACGACACATTTCTCAAGAACATTGTTACACATTTAATGAAATTAAATTACTGCAAGCAACAATATAAATTAAAAATAATTCTAAAAGCAGCATTGTTATTCTTCAGAGAAGAAGCCAACAATGAAAAGTCAGAAAATAGCTGATTTATTTCATTGTTTGTTTGGACTCATTCTGATTGCGAAGTGTGTAAATTTTAACGCAAAAATATTATTTCGTAAAATTAAATTAACAGAATTGTTTTCAAACCAAGGCTGCATAATGATTTAGTACATAAAGGGTTAATTAATAATTAACCCTCGCTTTAACCAGAAATCAAAAATACACAATTTTGAACATACTATGGTAAGAGGAACTCATTCCTTTAATGGAGTGCTTCTACTCGAGAGTAGTGCTGTGAAATCCAAGTTTTTAAATAAAAATATGATTTCAGCATCATTTCCACGGAAACAACAAATCAATGTCATATTTAGGAATAAAGATTTCCGTCATAGAACAAAGGAGATAATGAGAGATCACGATGCAGAGGACAGCAACAAGGATATGATTTCGAATGTTAAACAAAAAAGAAGTCAACGAGAACCAAATTTACTACCTAGTAGCAGCGAAATTTTTGGAAAAGAATCTTTCGGAAAAAATAACTCAAAACTGCTTAAAAACCTAAATGCAGTGAAGGAAAATATCTTAATAATTTCAGTTAGTAGTTTTGGTATTTTATGTTTTCTTGTATTTTTAATTGCTTTGTATTTCTACACAGCTTCAAGCAAGTCACATAAGGAAAAAGAAAAGAACAGAGTTAAAACCAAAAGATCTAAAAAATCTTTAACAAATAAAACTATATTTAGTTTCAAAAAGAAGACTATTCGTTATCAGAGAAAGCAAAATAACACGCAACCTAAAATGAAATCTATTCAGACATATAATGGAGAACTCAGCTGTATGAGCGAAAATTTTGTAAATAGTCCTAAAATCTCTGATGATGTTGATAATCAAATGTTGATTTATACTAAACATAATTATGCAGATAGTAACAATTCACGCTGTGACACTTCCGGAAATTCGGCATTTTCAACTGGTAAATACGATCTGCAGGAAAGATTAGAAAAAGCCAGAAAGCTTAAAAATATTGCTGATGTAGATGATCAAGATATCCTTTCACGTACTAAAATTCCCTCCCCAGGTCACGAAAACTTCTGGAACTATAAAGGTGCTACCATAAAAGGTGCTATGCATCATAACCAGTCGCAAATTTTATTACCACTTCCTCCGGGATACGAGCCGATTGAAATATTTAGAAGACATCCGGATATCGATTATATCCTTCA